AAGCAGAAGCTGGTGTTTCTTGCAGGTTAGTGTTTGAAATGCCATTACGTATGTATATTACTGATGGAAAGGTTAACACATGCAAAAATGTATTCTTATCTTAACTGTTATGCCTTGGTCCTTGTGGGAGCTCCCATCTTGAGGGGACTGACACAACACAAGACTGACAGCTTTCTTGTGTGGTCCTTTTATTACTTATACAACTGTACAATTACCATAATTCTAACTCAATTTCCTACCTGTCTGGAAGTAATGTATATTTGGTAGTCCGTGAATTTAATCCTACAATAGATCATTAAATAAAAACACTCCCAGTAGCAGAAAGGCTCTGTACAGTATGCATTACTTCTATATTCAGAGTTTTTACTGCATTTAAATAAGTAGGTTAGTAAGTAGAGATAAGGTGGATAGACAAGACAGGGTATGGGTGAGTGAGAAATGTGTGTGTCACATGGGGGAAGAAGCAGGAATGGGAGCTAACTTGGTATAGGTAGGAAGCTGTTTATAAGCCACATAATTGTGTGGTAAGAAGCAGCAGGGAGGACAGAAGTAAGTAAGTATATACAGTATACAGCTTCCAAGATGTTAGTACAGTACTACAGTTGTAAATAAATACACGACTTAGAGGCTGTATATACAAGACAGAGACAACTAAATATACAGCATAGATTTTGTACTTTAGAATTCAATACAAGTATAAAGCAAAACAACATCAATACTGTAAGGGATGATTAGGTACAGTATGCATTAACTCCATAAATAATATATGTCGACGAACTTGAGTGCAGATAAACTTAGGACTGACAATGTTAACAGTAAAGACAAAATCTAAAGACAGGAGAGCCAGGTGAAGAAAATAATGACACAAACAAATACTAACAATCTACCGTACTTCACTACACTTAAGAACATTTTTGTCCTGAAAAATGGCTAAAAAGATTTGAAATTGCAGTCCCCTGTAGGCTAAAGAATCCCCAAGCTGCTCTCTCTGGTAGGCTAAATCTCATGAATTAGTTACAGAACATGTACAGTAATTGTTTACCTAAATACATTATTATTTATTTAACTTAAAAAAAGGGATTATTATAAATACAAGAGCTGGATTTATAAATGATAATAATGATAAACCGATATGATTAGTACCCTTTCAACAAAGTAATGGTACACCAACTCTTCAGTACTAATAGTGGTACACCAACTCTTCAGTACTAATAGTGGTACACCAACTCTTCAGGTTCTAATAGTGGTACACCAACTCTTCAGTACTAATGGTACACCAACTGTTCAGTAATAATAGTGGTACACCAACTGTTCAGTAATAATAGTGGTACACCAACTGTTCAGTACTAATAGTGGTACACCAACTGTTCAGTACTAATAGTGGTACACCAATCTCACTTCAGTTACAGTGGTACACCAATCAGTACTAATAGTGGTACACCAACTCAGTACTAATAGTGGTACACCAACTCTTCAGTACTAATAGTGGTACACCAACTCTTCAGTACTAATAATGGTACACCAACTCTTCTACTACAATAAAGTAATAATAGTGGTACACCAATCAGTATTAGTGGTACACCAACTCTTCAGTACAAGAGCTGGATTTATAAATGATAATAACTGTTCAGTAATAATAGTGGTACACCAACTGTTCGTACTAATAGTGGTACACCAATGTATTAGTGGTACACCAACTTTCTAATAGTGGTACACCAACTGTTCAGTAAGTGGTACACCAACTCTTCAGTACTAATAGTGGTACACCAACTCTTCAGTACTAATAGTGGTACCAACTGTTCAGTACTAGTAGTGGTACACCAACTGTTCAGTCCTAATAGTGGTACACCAACTGTTCGGTAATAATAGTGGTACACCAACTGTTCGGTACTAATAGTGGTACACCAACTGTTCAGTAATAATAGTGGTACACCAACTGTTCAGTACTAATAGTGGTACACCAACTGTTCAGTACTAATAGTGGTACACCAACTGTTCAGTACTAATAGTGGTACACCAACTGTTCGGTAATAATAGTGGTACACCAACTGTTCAGTAATAATAGTGGTACACCAACTGTTCAGTACTAATAGTGGTACACCAACTGTTCAGTAATAATAGTGGTACACCAACTGTTCAGTACTAAAAGTGGTACACCAACTTTTCAGTAATAATAGTGGTACACCAACTGTTCAGTACTAATAATGGTACAATAACTCTTCAGCACTAATCAGTAATATTTTTTTAACTCTTATAAGCGTTACTATCCACTACAGTCGCACTTGCAACATTTATCTCACCATTTTTATTAGGAAACATCATTAGTTTTAAAAGTAACTTAAAATTATAATGGTAACAGCGAATGTTGGCAAAAGTCAATGTCTGCGTTCGTTCTCGGTAACGTCTCACTAGAGCATAACACCATCTTTCAGTATGTAGCAATGACTCGTGTATTCAGTTGACAGTTAGGGTTTCTGGAGTGCTTAGTATGGGCATCATAATAAAAGTTGAGTGAGTATTAATACTTTCAATCCTTAAATAGCTTTTACTCTTATTTTAACAAAACTATGGCCACACTTGAAAAAAAAAATTAAGCTGTACCATAAGCTACAATCTTAAGGTGGTGTACTATGTGAAGGAGCATGGTAACTGAGCCACAGAACAAGTGTATAGTATGGACCACCAACTGTAAAGAAAAAACAAAGACAAAATGAAGTCAAGAAGACAGCAGGTTACATGAAATGGTTTTCTTGATGTGCAGATTTCTTGTTTAAATTTTCATATTTGGAAACTTCCTAATTTTATCCTTGCTACAAAAAAAATTATGTTTTCTGTCACATGCTATTAAGTTTACTTCTAGAAATATCACTGAAAATTTATACTGTATACAGAAATACTGTATCACGTTCGATGCCAGTACCTGTACGAGTAAACTTTAAATGCTTAGATACACTCAAAAGTTTTCCCAAATATTCCCTGCTGAAATATGGGTGTGTCTTATATGCTGTAAAATATGGTACATGAAAAGAAGTAAAGAAATTCAACATACAGTAAACTTCCTCTAATCTGGACTAACTGGGGAGAAAGCCTGTCCAGTTTGGCCGAAATGCCTGGTTGAGTGCGGTCTGTACAGCATGTATTATCTATATTGTAAGGCAGAAAATTTGAGAGGGAGGGGTATTTTTACTAAGAACACTGAACCCACTGCAATTTTTTAGCCTAGACTTAACACTCTCGGGGTTTTTAATACCATATGAATAATTTTTTTTAGCCATTTAAGGTTTTAACGTCTATGGGAAAAAAAATACCTTTTTCTCGGTCTCTCATTTGCTCTCGGCAGCTTGGTGCTGGCTCTCAGTACAAATGTACTCGACGGTGAGTCACTGAGCAGCTGGTGTTGCAGGGAGCTCTCTTTCGTCTGACAGCAGTGTGTACTGTCTCAACCATCACACTTTGCTCCATTCAAACCTTATGCCCCCAAAAATAACTCCATTTTTAGTTTATATATACAAGGAGTATTTATTTAGATAAACTGCTCAGGATTATTTTGTATAAAAATCATGTTTCTAACTTAACTAGAACCAATTTTATCAACTCCAGTATAAACATTTCTAATTTTTTCATAAAAGATTTGAGTTCCCATCATTATATGTGTCCAAATATTTTGTTTAAGGATCTTTTATTAAAAGAACCATGTAGAGAATTTATTCAGTATCATTATGGTACCAAATTCATCTTTGGAAACAATTATAAGAAATGCAGTGTTACCACAGTGGCAGCTCCCGCTTGCGGCAATTTTCCCCACATACTAACCGGATTTTGGTTGTTTTTCTGGTTTGGGGATATATGTGTCTGGTGCTAGAGGATCCGGATTAAGCGAGTCCGGGTTTGAGGGAGTTTACTGTATAATAGACTGAATTGGACAAACAAAATTACAAAATCTGTGAGCTTTGTCAATGGGATAAAATATATTACATATATCCAGTGTTCATTAACTGGCATATAATGATATATGAAGATCAAAAGTGAAAAGCTTGAAAGGATTTATGTTAGTAGTGTGTTGTAAGATATGGTTCAGTTGCTGCTGAACCTTAGTTAGTTGTGAATGCCTGATGCACTGATGATGAGACTTGGTAGCCAGATACTGTACCTGTATACATAGAATAACTATGAGTAACATGTGAGAATATGTAACTGTACATGCATGCAAATTGTGCAAATTGTGAACTTCTTGTATAATAGGTAGCTTTAACTTAGGCAGAGGACATTAAAGGTATAGTCTTTAGTAACTGGTAACTGGGGTAAATAAAAGGAATCAGAAAATAAAATAAAGTCTTCCTTAATTGTACTAAATCTCTGTCAATCAAAAGAGGAAGTCACCTTTTTGTATCATGTTATGGTACCAAATTCATCTTTGGAAACAATTATAAGAAATGCAGTGTTACCACAGTGGCAGCTCCCGCTTACGGCAATTTTCCCCACATACTAACCGGATTTTGGTTGTTTTTCTGGTTTGGGGATACATGTGTCTGGTGCTAGAGGATCCGGATTAAGCGAGTCCGGGTTTGAGGGAGTTTACTGTATAATAGACTGAATTGGACAAACAAAATTACAAAATCTGTGAGCTTTGTCAATGGGATAAAATATATTACATATATCCAGTGTTCATTAACTGGCATATAATGATATATGAAGATCAATAATGAAAAGCTTGAAAGGATTTATGTTAGTAGTGTGTTGTAAGATATGGTTCAGTTGCTGCTGAACCTTAGTTAGTTGTGAATGCCTGATGCACTGATGATGAGACTTGGTAGCCAGATACTGTACCTGTATACATAGAATAACTATGAGTAACATGTGAGAATATGTAACTGTACATGCATGCAAATTGTGCAAATTGTGAACTTCTTGTATAATAGGTAGCTTTAACTTAGGCAGAGGACATTAATGGTATAGTCTTTAGTAACTGGTAACTGGGGTAAATAAAAGGAATCAGAAAATAAAATAAAGTCTTCCTTAATTGTACTAAATCTCTGTCAATCAAAAGAGGAAGTCACCTTTTTGTAATCTCGATCACAATGTTACAATGCCATCCTGGTAAATGTGAAAACAAGGCTCAGGAACCAGTGGTCTCTATATGAAAACTTCCACATACAACATGGAACATTCAAGTACCCAATTCCCTCTTGATAAAACATTCTCTCATTCACAATAAAACACATCCAACATACTTGATGTTCACGTGTAATTCTGCATCACAAACTTGACTAGACATAATGACCACTGCAGTTCCTACTTGGCAAGACGGCAAAATATGCATCAATAGTCGAGATGCTGGTGTGTAATGAAGAAATCTTGAGTTCCTCTATGGTTATGGTTGGCTTAGTCAGACAGGGCTGTGTCATTGGCTAAGTCTGGCAAAGCTGTGTCCTCCACCAGTAGTGAATCTTCACCTAAGATACTGCACAGCTCCTGCAAGATCAAATACGTTAACAGAGATTAAATATATCACAGATTAATGTATGACCCAACAATAAATGCAAGATCAAACACAGTTCCTACAAGATCAAACACAGTTCCTACAAGATCAAACACAGTTCCTACAAGATCAAACACAGTTCCTACAAGATCAAACACAGTTCCTACAAGATCAAACACAGTTCCTACAAGATCAAACACAGTTCCTACAAGATCAAACACAGTTCCTACAAGATCAAACACTACAAGATCAAACACAAGATCAAACACACTTCCTACAAGATCAAACACAGTTCCTACAAGATCAAACACAGTTTACAAGATCAAACACAGTTCCTACAAGATCAAACACACTTCCTACAAGATCAAACACAGTTCCTACAAGATCAAACACTACAAGATCAAACACTACAAGATCAAACACACTTCCTACAAGATCAAACACAGTTCCTACAAGATCAAACACAGTTCCTACAAGATCAAACACAGTTCCTACAAGATCAAACACAGTTCCTACAAGATCAAACACAGTTCCTACAAGATCAAACACACTTCCTACAAGATCAAACACACTTCCTACAAGATCAAACACACTTCCTACAAGATCAAACACACTTCCTACAAGATCAAACACACTTCCTACAAGATCAAACACACTTCCTACAAGATCAAACACAGTTCCTACAAGATCAAACACACTTCCTACAAGATCAAACACACTTCCTACAAGATCAAACACACTTCCTACAAGATCAAACACACTTCCTACAAGATCAAACACACTTCCTACAAGATCAAACACACTTCCTACAAGATCAAACACACTTCCTACAAGATCAAACACACTTCCTACAAGATCAAACACAGTTCCTACAAGATCAAACACACTTCCTACAAGATCAAACAAGTACCTGTACCACCATAAATGTCACTGTAACTCTTTCAACTCCAACTAAATTTCACATCATTGTGGTGGAGCTGTGGCCCCATCAATGAAAGGTCTTAGGTTTCATTCTTGGCTAGAGTGGAGGACTGGCTTCTCTCCTTGTACTCTTGGCATTAAAATGAATAAGTCATCAGATGTGCTTGCCAAAGGTGGAGCAACTCTTTGGTGGATTTGCATCTGGTCAAGGGGGTTAGTGAGATATTCCAGTCACTGCAATGCTAAAGACTTAAGGGGTCACCACACCTACCCAGTCATCCCACACTATAAAAAAAAAAAAAAATGCCCCCACCCCTAAATTTTTTGTTTATATCTTTCTTCAATCTGTCCATATTGTTGGGTCCATCTTGATGAGAGTACAGTAGTAAACACACCAACAAGTCATTTCCCTAGTGTATGGACAAAGGAGATTCAAGCTTTTTTTCCTGTTCTCTTGTAAGGCTTTTCCAGTACTGCACTGGGCAGGGTGGCTAGAATCAAGAACAATAGACTCTGGCACCATTTCCTGTCATTTATCCTCTCTCACAAGTGTAAGCCATTCTGTTATGATATTGTCTTTCCATAACACAGCCCCAAGATTCCCACTAGACATCATCCATTATCATCACAGTCTTCCCTGTAAACCACTTGACACTATGCTCTCCAACCATACCAAAATAACAATAGTAATTATCATATTTTGTATGGATATGCTTATCCCTCCTCCAGAGCTCATTTCAAAAAACATATCTTCTTCTGCATATAAACTGCAGCTTCTCCAGTGTAGGACATAGAGGCACCTTAAAATACATGTCTTTCCCACAACATATGAACTGCAGCTCTACAAGTGTAAAATGGACATGCACCTTAATCTCACATGTTCTTACCTTTAATCTCTCCATCTTGGTGGGTATATCAGACAAGAGAGATTCCAAGTGCTGTTTTTCCTCCTTCAATCCGAGACGTTTTTCAGAGTCGAGACGATCAAACTTCCACCCGCCCTCTCCATCAAACTGTAGTAGGTGTGTGTGAAACTTCCTGAGAAGAAACAATACCAGTATTAGGATACATTACACATTTGGTAATAAGAGTTAAGAGTTGCACTGCACTATCCATCAATAGTCTTGTTATTATTTCCCATCATACAGAAATATTAATGTTGAGTAGTTACCTTTTCATGGTCACCGCCAGTATCCTTAAGCTAGTATCTGGGAACCAGGCTTATACTATACTGTATCATCAGCCAATTTTTTTATTCCATTTCCTGATTTATTTACAAAAGGTTCACTATGGTATCATATCAAGTACCAAATATGAAACCTACTAACATAGGCTTCACTCTATTATCAGCCACCAACTATCACACAAAATATTCTGTAAGCACACAAACATCACTCTATTGGTGCTTTAGGGCGGTCATAACCAGACATGGGGGCAATTTTTTAGTAAAAAGGATGAAAAGAGCTGCAGCAGCAAGGTGCTGCCAGACATGGCAATGGTTTTCTACTGAAGTTGACAGCTAGACATATATTTTATTATTATTTCCTCCACTTGCCAACTTACTAGTCAGTCTGTTCTTTGAGTAGTATTCATTTAGACAAATGGTTATATGGTAGCAAAGGAAACACATGGTCAGAGAAACAACTTTAGTCCTGATGTTTTGTCATGAAGGACTTTCTGAAAGGATTAGACACAAGGTACCCATGCCCAAGCTTGTATCCCATTCGTCTGTCCCCATGATGGCATTGACGATGCATGATTGGTCAAATAGGTGAGTGGGAACAGACCAATGGGGGACGAGTTTGGGCATGGGATCCACCTTATAAGCAAGCAGTATACTCTTTGAGAAAGTCCTTCATGATGAAATGTCAGGAGTGTACCTAAGGATAAAGTACCATTAATAAGATCAACTTTCTACAGTACTTTACAGGAATTTATATTATCCAGAAAGGCTCTTGTCCCATGTTGCAGGATAAGAGTAAGTTAACCTGTACCAAATTTTGCAACTTCCCCAGTTTAAAACCATAAGAAATTAGAGGTTGACAAGAACTTCATCTAATGGACCTAAAAATGTGTCATATTAAAACAATCAACCCAAAACATGTGTCAAATTTAAACAATCAACCCTAAACATTTGTCATATTTAAACAATCAACCCTAAACATGTGTCATATTTAAACAATCAACCCTAAACATGTGTCAAATTTAAACAATCAACCCTAAACATGTGTCATATTTAAACAATCAACCCTAAACATGTGTCAAATTTAAACAATCAACCCTAAACATGTGTCAAATTTAAACAATCAACCTTAAACATGTGTCATATTTAAACAATCAACCCTAAACATGTGTCATATTTAAGCAATCAACCCTAAACATGTGTCAAATTTAAACAATCAACCCTAAACATGTGTCAAATTTAAACAATGAACCCTAAACATGTGTCATATTTTAACAATCAACCCTAAACATGTGTCAAATTTAAACAACCAACCTTAAACATGTGTCAAATTTAAACAATCAACCCTAAACATGTGTCATATTTAAACAATCAAACACCTCAAAGTTTCTCAGGAATGTCTAATTATTTTCTTCTTGCCTTCACCCATAATTTTAATTGATAGACTCTCCTCTGAAATGTGTTTAAACAACTGGCAATAAAGTGCATTAACAAGGAACAACTGACCATAGAGTGGGCCGGTGTGTGATGGTGAGGAGGGTGATGCCGTGATCCTTGGCTGCCTGGTACATCTGGCCCTCAACATCAATGCTCACAGCACTCGTACATTCATCCAGCAGGGCATACTGTGGCCTAGTGAGAGAAATATCCATTCTGATATACCTGTCTAGTCATATGTCTTGCCTGCTGGTGGCATCTGCAGAGAGCAATGCATCGGGAAGTCTTTGGGGAGGGACATGCTGTTGATAGGTGATGCTGGGCTGAGTGAAGTAACAGAGGTAAAACAAGAGAGAAATTTAGGCTCTTGTTATGGAAGGGGAAAAAACAGCACAATACATCTGTTACAGCAGTAAGAATGTAAGAATAACTGTGAATGAAGTGAGATTTGCATTTGCTTCTGACTCCAGCTACTGTACTCTTCATTAAAACAGGAAAGGACATGAAAGGTTAAAATAAAATCTACCTATACTACTTACAGTATTTGACCTCCACTGTCCCCACATACTGCAAGGGGTGGATCAGAGGAAACAGGAACATCAAGAATGAAAGGAAATGATCAGGGAGGCGAAGGACTGCAACAGCAAGAAGTAAGTAATCTCTCCGTTAGCCGAATCTTTGATCAACGGAACTCTCCAATAGCTGATATTTTTTTTTTTTAGTATTCCAAGAAATTCTGGGAAAAATTTCCCCATCCTGGGAATTTGAACAGATTTCCAAGAGATTGCATCATGTTTCCGACACCGGGATATGTGCCAAGTGTGTTGGTTGGTAGACTCAAGAGTGCCCCTCAAACTCTTGCATTATGACACCCTTACTTCATTGTCTGCTGCCATTGTACAAGATTGTTTGCTCAGTCGCTTACTGCTGTTTTTGGATAAGTAAACAACAATACACAATACAGTGACCCCTCCGTTAACGAACTCAATCCGTTCCAGAAGGTCGTTCATTAACCGAAAAGTTCGTTAACCGAAACCATTGTTTCAATGGGTTTTTGGGTAATTGGTTCCAGCTCACCGAAAATTTCCTAAATTCAACAAAAATGGTAGAAAAGTTCACTTACTTTGAGGTGTGTATGTAGAAGGCTCCTGGATGATGATGATGATGATGGGATTTAGAATGGGGGTGGAGGAGAAGGAAGAAGATAAGGCATTGGGGTGGAAGAGAAGTCACCCCATGGTGCCATTTCACCCATAAAATTTTAGCTCTCTTGGTGTAATTCAGGATTATTTTCTTTAAATCAACACTGCACTGCATTATATATTGTCAATATGTAAAATATATTTCAAAATGACCAATAATTTGCTTGGAAACACAGAAAAAAAGCGTTTAGTTGAAGAGAGTCTCAAGCAAGATGTTACCTCCAGTGAAAACAGAGAGACTAACTCCTTTTTGCTGTGTTAAGAGGCTGGATGCCGTGCATTAAACTAGTCACTTTACCTTCAATTATGTTCAATAATTGTTAAAATGACTAAAAAATTGAATATTAAACTTTTAAAATTATTGAATAGTATAAATTTCTTGATATTTACTAAAATAGTAAGGAATTTAAGCCCTAGAACCGATTAATGTATTGGCGGACTGATACTAAAGCTGGTTGCCCGGTCAGTGCAAGCGAAAACATGTTGAGGTCGGTTCGTAAGAACTTCGTTAACCGAATTTTTTTCGTTAACCGAATTGAAGAGCCTTATGGAAGGCAGTTCGTTAATCGAAATTACGTTAACCGAGGTGTTCGTTAAACGAGGGGTCACTGTACTGCATATACTATACAATATAGGTACTATATAGGTGTACTGAACCAGTTTGTACATTATGTTTGAAATACATGAGTCACCCAAAAACACAACTGAATATGATATATCAGCATGTTTTCTTTTAATACCATATAGGTACAATGGTGAAAAACATAAGAAAACAATGAAATTATACAATAATACTATACAGTAAGTATAAAATAAGAGAAAATGAAGTTGAAAGGATATTCTGTGTGACATAGGCAAGGCAAGTGACTGGCTAGACTCAATGGAAAATCCCCAACCCCTATATAACAACAGTATGCAATTTCACTTTTAAATCCCATATTATTTAGGTTCATTTGGTGTCGGGGTAATAAATTCTGGGGGGAAAATAATAAATTTCTCTGAAAGAACAACAAAAAAACACACTGAACCCTAGTAGAGTTATTGAGTTTGTTTATATATACGAACAGCTGACCAGCTAGCAAGCCCGGGCATCTGCCTGTCTCTGTTATTTATTTATTTATGTATTTATTTATTTATCTATTAGCGTAATGTTGTCACCCAGAGGATGATTATGAGAAGGGAAGGAGTTGTTTATGTAATACAGAACTACAGTACAGTACAGTATCTCTTTATATCTCCAACAAACATTTTTTAAATTATTACGTCGTTGATTTTCAGGAATGAATCACAAATACTCAAAACTGTGAACCATAAAGCCGCATAAGGCAACGGTCTACTGTACCAGGTACTGTACTGTATGTACTCTGACTGTAAAGGTTAAATGTCTCCCCTTTAATATAGTTCTGGTAAAACAGTGATCACTACAGAAGATTACCAATGATTCATATAAATAAATGACACCAATAAAATTTAAATGTGCAAATTTTGCCTGGTGTTTACATCATGACTATGTTTCACATATATGACTGGTGAAGCAGACAAACAGTGTCCAAGTATGTGGATCAATGTTAGCATGAAGGAATGTACTGTACATAAATATGCACATGTTGTGAAACTTAGGACAAATATTTATTGTCCACAATGCATTTAAAGAAAGAACAAAAAGGTGATTACTGAATAAAATCATAGAGACAAACACATGAACATGAGTGATTGACACATACTTGTGGTAGAAGAGTCGGGCCACCCCCATCCTCTGCTTCTCTCCTCCAGACAGGACATCCTTCCAATCCTGTATGGCATCCCATCCTCCCTCTCTTATCACCAAGTTCTGGAGGTTCACAATACACAGGATGTTCAACAGGTTGTCATCAGTGAGGCCCTTGTTTTTCATGTCTTCATATGAATCTGGGTAGGTCACCTGGTCACGCAGGGTCCCTACTGACATGTATGGCCTGTGGGAAAAAAGCTGTATCATCAGTAAAAAGTACAGAAAAAGCATACTAGTGGAGCATTTTTTATTTGTTTTAATTGTAACCCACAACTCCCTCACATCATACAGGCTACAGTCAATCAAAGTGGTGTAAAATTAAACTGAAGGGGAGAGACTTACTCATTGTGGGATGTATTTACAGATCCCCAAACTGTAGCGTATTAAACCAGAGGAACTTAAAGAGCCTTAATTGACAAAGTAACGGCTCTAAACCCTAGCCACCTCCTTGTCATGGGGGACTTTAATTATGGTGATATTGACTGGAGAAATGAATCCACGCCAAACGACATCAATAATCCCACCACATTTTTTTCGTAGAAACTCCGAGAGACAATTTTATATTCCAACATATTAAAGATACGACTCATCATAACTAACGAGGAGGGTATGGTGGCCAAGCTGGAACATCTAGCCCCTGTTGGCACCAGTCACCACATAATGTTGTCCTTCAGATTTAACTGTTACTTGATTCATGACAAAAGCAGGTCCAGGTTCAAACATTACAAAGAAAATTACAATGGGATGAGGGAGGAGATGAGGAATATACACTGGTCTGACTTACTAAGAAATAAGAACGTAGATACTGTACTACGCTGAATATCATAGCCAGTAAAGTTAACCATTTGATCGATAAATATATACCAAAGACCAAACCCAGTGCCTCCAGGAATACAAGACGACCGCTACAAATGAGCCATGCAGTGGACGACAAAGTTAAGAAGAAAACTCGGGATTTCAAGACGTGGGTTAGGACAAATGATGAGCAGGACAGGAGGATGTATGCCAGATCCAGGAACCAAACAAAGTCAGAGTGTAGAAGGGCTGAAAAATATTTCCAGAGGCAGATTCCAAGTGAGGTAAAGTAAAACCCAAAGGCTTTTTACCGCTATGTAAAGTAGAAATTAAAAACGTGAGTAAGATAATCGGACCTAAGGCTTGAAGATGGTAGTTATGCAGATTCTGACCAGGATAAGGCAGAGTCGTTGAACAAATTCTCTTCCTCAGTGTTCACAAGAGAGGGTGCGAACAATTATCCAGTGTTTGAGGAAAGACGGTTTGACACAGAGCTGACCTACATTGTGTTCTTGGACGAGTTTATGAGAAATAAACTGTCAAAGCTAAAGATTCACAAGAGTCCCGGCCCAGATATGGTACACCCCAGAGTGTTTAGAATACAATACTGTGTAACGAGCTTGTGGACTGGAAAATGGCTTACGTGAGTCCTGTATTCAAGAAGGGCGATCGTCACTCCATGAATAATTATAGACCAGTGAGCCTGACCAGCATAGGGTGTAAAGTACTAGAGAGCATCATAAGAGATGCCATGATGGAACATCTACTACAAAACAACCTTGTAAAGGATTGCCAACACTGTTTTATGCTATCCTGGGATGATCCTGCTTAACACAATTACTCAAGGTACTGGATGTTTGGACTCAAATTCTAGAACAAGACGGAAATATAAACGATTATACCTAGATTTTGCCAAGGCTTTTGACAGAGGATAGAAGTAAAAAGTAATATGTCTATCATGAAAGTAATTTAACAACAAATTACAATACTGTACTGCCTGTCCATTGGTATGTAAAATACAGGTATCCCTTACTATATGGATGGGTTAGGTTCCTTGAAGATCATTCGTTAAGTTCAGTTCACAAGCATAAAACCTACCTAACTACAGTGGGGTATGCTATAACGAACGGATCCTACTACGAATATTCCTATAACGAACGGTTTTACCTATAAAATTGAGAATGCTATAACGAACGAAACTCCTACAACGAACATTATTTAAAATTTTTTTTTTTTTTTTTTACTAATTTATTGTTTTTTTATTACAAGTATTAATGATATTGGTTATTTCAGGGGTTTAGATGCATATTTATGCACTTTTTTACAATTTTTACAATTTTATATTATATTTTCAGTGTTAAGTGGTTGCATTTGGGGCCTGGAACGGATTAATCCTATAACGAACGAATGCTATAACGAACAAGGTTCTAGAACCAATTAGATTCGTTATAGCATACCCCACTGTACTGTACTGCAATCTAAATACAAGAAAACCCCAATATTATACATAAAAGTATTAAAGTAGTTCATAAACAACAATATTACCTACTTAACTACTTTAAATTAGTACCCAACTACAGTAATTTAGTACCTAACACATTGGAAAATGAATAAAATATCAATTTGGTACTACACATTACCTTAAGAAGGGTGGTCAGGGCTCACAACAATGGGTGAGGAGGGGTGAGTTGAGTAAGGGTCATATAAGTGAGAATAGCTTTCATATAGTAAGAGGTGTGAGAACAGAATATTTGTATAAGATAATATTCATAGAGTAAACATTCTTACAGTGAGTGATACCTGTAAAGTGTTTAATTATGGTTTAAATAAACCAAGCATGAACTACCACAGTGAAGATGTTGGATAATCACACATCAACATACAGAAAAGTCAAGACTTATCTGGTGGTTAGCAGTAGGTTCCCTGTAAACACCATTATCATCATTATCATTTTATGGCTATTTTCCATGTTTGTAGGGGTTAGCTGTGATTACCTGATGGTAGTTAAATGATTCTGCAGAAGAATATACCTTGGGCCTATGCAAAATAGGGGATTAGGTTCCAGGCTCTCATTAATTCTCCATAACTGGTTACAGGAAGGGTAAGTCTTATCATCAACTGGCCAGTGTATGTGTAGCCCACTATACTGTACTGAGTATAGATGTCTACATAACTCCAACTTTATTCTATAGATGCTTTTTCTTTATGCTTTCTTCCTTGGTGACATTCAATACTGAGGCTCTGAGAGAGCTGCCAAGATATATACGGAGCAACTAACCATTGGTATGAAATATCAAGGCCACGATCATGGCTTTGATCCTGTCTTGAAATACGTGAATTCTATTTACATAAACATATTTTTCTTTTATTATTTCATATTTTATAGGTACAGTATACATTTATACATTTATTAATATATTGTCACAGTGCATGTTAATTTATCCAATCGATTCAGTATGTGTGTCAAATTTATATAAATAAAGAATTTATAATTTGTTATTTACTCTATAGAATTAAAAGATAAAGAGGAGATTAATAGTAAATCAGCTTTAAACGGGGTATTACTGAATTTCAGTCCTCATAAATTTGCAAATCCTAAACTCTACACATTCTAAAGTTTCAATTTATAAACATTTATTTGCCCATCCAAATGTGGCACAGTAAGTGGTGTCTGTGTACCCTTCACTGGTTATTCCTGTGAATCAGCTCACCTGAAGGAATGGAGGCTGTTCTCACCAGGACTGCCATACATATGAAAATATCTGATTTACTTTGGAAGCATCAAAAAGAGAGAAGTAGCTTCCAATTACACAGTTTATGATCAAGTTTTTGTTATTCTTCTTCTTCTCTTGATAACACACTTACTCTTTCTCTCATCATATACATGTAAATATATATATTTACCTTTGAGGAATGTAGAACATGTCAGAGGTAACAGGCTTCTGCAGGTGGCCACTGTATACTGGCCACAGACCACTTAAAATCCGGAATAATGAACTTTTTCCACACCCATTTGGACCTGGAGAGACATAAAACCATGATGGTTTAATATTTACAGTTTACAGCTTATGGTATTTAAATTAAGACTTATAATTTATGTTAATCTTTCTTTTTTATATGTAATGATCATTTCTTTAGCTTTAAAAATATTTTTAATAGCTACATGTTCAGGATGTGGGAAACAAAAGTGTCTACAGTATTTGGACAACGGTATGAAAATAAGATCTAAAAAGTGAAGTTGTCCCCAATTAAATATCTGACTATGAAAAGTATGCCTGAACATAACACCGGTGAGATGGATGAACACCAAACACATGCAAAACAAAAGAGATTCTGTGTGAACAAGAAAGTGACTGATGTGACAGGTCTCACTGGTGAATTAACTCAGTGATCAGAGTGAATAATTATAAAACATAGTTGCCATAATAATGTTTTAGGAAGCTGCTCATGTAGGTGTGTAAAGAAGACATTTATAGTATGTTTATGACCCTAAAACTCAGTGTTATGACAAATTTAAACCTAAACAGATACAAAATAATATAACCAAGATGTAACTGAATATCCAGGTCTAGAGACGCACAAGTGAATTTTCTTTATACTGTACTTACAGTATACAGGGAAGAACACTTCATATAACTACTGATTGTAAACACAGTGTACATCTTCTAGTTGAGTTACCTGTGATGAGGAGGTGCATCAGTGGTCTGACAGTGAGGGTGAGAGTCGGTACCACCACATCACAGTTTGGCGTCACAATCGGAACATTTTCTATTATTATAGTCCCATCAATGCTCTCTGTTACAATACCTGCAAAAATTAAGACAGATATTAATAAAGAACAAAAACAAATTACAGCAAAAACTTTTCTAACATGTTAAGGTCACATGTAGACCCAGGCAAATCTGCTTGCTTTGTCGTCAGGCGATGCTGGTTCAGTCTTGAACTGTGATCACTCACAAATTGTATAGTTCATCATAAAATAGTTAATCACATGCATAGCCCCAAGACTAGCCATATAAAAGAGCCCTTGGTGGCTTAGAGGAGCAGTAATAAGTGTCTAGCTGTCAGTAGGGCTTGTCTTGATATGGGCAGCTTCTGCCTGGAACCTTTACTGGCTCACATTCAGTTAAGACTTTAGTTTTCTGGCTGAGGTGAGCCTACTGTACTGTAATTAAATTTGATCTCCAATAATTATACAATATTGTATAGCTCAATATAAAAATACCTACCTATAGGGGGGGTGATGACTTATAGCTCTAATCTTAACAGCAATTATAATACTGCATACATACATATCATCAACAACATTTTATGGTCATTTTCTACGCTTATGTGTGTTAGCCGCAATTATCTGATGACAGCTGCTGGGTAAAACCAAAACGGGATCTACAGTACAGTTGACCCACCCACCACCACAAACCCAAGGCACCAGCCAAGAAAATGCACCAGAGACCATGGGATGAGCCCAAATCTGTTGACCCAGTTGCCACCAGGCATGTTGAGGCAAAGTTTCAGGGTTGGATGCCCTTTCTAATGCCAACCCATCATCAACATGTATACCCATTTTTCAAGCATGTGTGGGTTAGCTCTCCATGCTGCAAAATCTCTTGTAGTCATTCTTGACATGTTCTTAATTGTAATGCTCTTTCTTACAACCTCTCCCCATGTCAAACTTGGCCTACCCCTGGCTCCCCTCCCCTCCACATTTAGGCTCATGCACCTCTTGACCCAATTGGTCTCATACATTCTCCACACATGCCCAAACCACATCAGTTTGCCTCTATGCAGAACTTTACCAATACTCTAAATACACAGCCACCTTCTTAGCTGTGAACAGAGCCTCCTGTTTTAAAGTGTTGCTCTGCACATCCGCCTCACCATTCTCATTTCAACTCACCCAAGTCTTCTTATGACATACTCTTCAATTCCCCATGTTTCATTGCCTTGCAACACCACAATTCTCACACCAGCCACATACATTCTTCCTTTTATGCAAAGGGAAGGTCCTCTTGCTGTCAATTAAGGCAGCAACTCTCTAAACTTCCTCCAGCCACTTCTGAGTCTTGCAACTAAGCAGGTTTCAGCACCCCCAATGATACTGATTATGTCACCTGGGTAAAAGAACTCATTGGCACAGTCAAGGATGTTGAGTTTTCCAGCTTTGCACATACAGGACATTTATTCAGCAACATCCTGCAGCTACACTCATTTTCTGGTTTTTTATTCTATTCCTGCCTTCCACTTCTGAAAATTCTCTACTGCTTCTTCAATAATATTTGCTATCAGCACTAAGTCATCAGCATACAACAGCTCCCATGGTAGGCCAGTCCTAAAGGCTATTAATATTGCCTCCAGCACCATGATAAACAGATGGGGGCTCAAGACAGACCCCTGATGAACCCCAACTTTCACCTCAAATTCCCTCCAAAAATTATGAAACTGATTGATGAAAAACAAAAACAATGAGAAGTTTATACCAAAAAAAATTATCCAACTAAAAATTAAACTCACATAAAATATGGTAATACAAACTGTCAAAGCTGATGATACAACATTCTTGAGGTACGGCAGGAGAGTAATGGCTTGATATGTAAAGGATGTCGAGTATTGTCATTAATAGTAAGGAAGTATAAGAAAAACTGTGTATGGAAGTGGAGAGAAAGGAGGAACAACCAGAGTGAAGACAAGTTTTAGAGTGATAGTCTGGCTATGGAGAGGAGGAAGGTAAAGCCAACAATTAATAAAATGATAACTGTATTGTATACCCTTTTGTTTTTTAAGATATTTCTATAGTTTTCAAACATATTTCTGCATTTTTATATATAATTACAGTAAAAGGAAAACAGGTAATATTTAAAATGAAAATACAAATTAAAGTGAAGCAAAGTAAAGAAAAGTTTTAGGTATGAACTTGATGAGGGGTAGTAAGAATTGACTTAAATTAATGAACCTGATGAGAGACTGAAAGAGACCATGCAGTAGGGAGAGCTGCCATCAGGTAATCACAGATAACACAAGCAAGCCTTCAAATATCCTATTTCTTTTCAAATACCATAACAAAGCAAGGTCAATAAAGCCTTTATTATCTAAACATATAAAACACAGTATATATGAAGATTGAATGATTGTGTGTGCATGTAACAAAAAAAAATAAAAAATAAAATTGGTACTGTACAGTACAGAATACAGGTTGTACCTCTCTAGTCCGGCATTCTGTGGTCCGGAAACTCCCGTGGTCCGGAACGATTTTAGTTTGTCCAATAGGTAGATAGGCAGCTTTTTTTTTTTTTTTTTTTTTTTTACTTATCTGAATTATTATTATTATTACAGGAGTATTTTGCCCCTCAGGCCCTAATGTGGGTCAGTGACCTATTCCCGGGTGGGCTAATCCCCTTAAAAAAAGAAAAAAAGCCGCAGGAAATTAAGGTTTGTTTACATCCGGCAGTTCGGCTGCTCTCTCTCTCTGCTTGTCTATACAGAGTACAACATTTAACCCTTCAATATATATGAGCAGTAAATAAGTGTTGCTTTCATATTCTTATGTAGAGTAATGACAATATGTTTTCACATGTGTGCACTTACATATGCGCAGTCTCACTTTTTTTTTTACCATTAATGGTTAGCTACTTACCTTATATTGTTCCATTTATTAACATTAAATAACATTACAGGTACTTCAAGCAACCATATTCATTTTTTTACATTAATTTTACTACAGCTAAACTTAGTCTTATTTTCTTCAGTTTTATATGTAGAACCAATCAGTCACTGGTTTTGTAAGCTTTAACATAAACAATGCCGGCAGCCATCTCGTCTCCTCTAATATTCCACGTATTATTAATAAATTGTATTGTTAATTTTGCACACACGTACATTAATTCAATAAAAACAAATTCAGAAACATTAATTAAAATATATATGAACAGTAAATAAGTGTTGCTTTCATATTCTTATGTAAAGTAATGATGATATGTTTTCACGTGTGCGCACTTACATCTGCAATCTCTCTTTTTTCTTTACCATTATCGTTAGCTACTTCTATTGTTCCATTTATTAACATTAAATAACATTACTTAAAACAACCATATTAATTTTACTACAGCTACAACCAAGGTCTTATTTTCTTCAGTTTTATATGTAGAACCAGTCAGTCACTGGTTTTGTAATCAATGAATACAATGCTGTGTCACTTCCTCGTGTGTTTTAATATTCTACGTATTATTAATGAATTGTATTGGTCATTTTGCACACATAAACATTAATTCAATAAAAAAGACATGTACAAAAGATTCATTATTGTTTATTACTGAATGTCTTTTTGTACAAAAGATTCATTATTGTTTATTACTGAATAAGAGAAATGACGCTGTTTACACGATTATGCACGTCGTCTGCACGTTGGCGGGCCGTTCAAACCCGTCGAAATTCAAGTTTCCGCTGTTAAAATTTTTATTTATTTATTTTTTTGTGTTCCAATAAAATACGTTAAGAATTAAAAACTCGCGAAATTTGAGAAGCTACTATACGACATTTAACCCTTCAATATGTCTTCAAAGAGACCATGATGCAGAGAAAGTGGTGCTAGTGCTTCCAAGCATAAGCACAAGTCACTATCTATCCAGGAAAAGGGTGAATTTCCATGGTCAGGCAATTTCCATGGTCCGGCACCGGTCAGGTCCCGAGGTTGCCGGACTAGAGAGGTACAACCTGTATAAGTACAGGTAGTAGGTAGTAGGCAGCTATCAAACAGGAAGGTACTACTGCCTGGGAAGATATTGGAAGCATAATTTGTTGTCTAATGGTAGACCCTCCTGCCATATGGCATCACGAAAATTGTGACCAAGTCCCAGGTTGCTAATCTGTCTTTCTGCCTCATTTACACACAATTGCAGGGTCTCATTTGTTTCTCTTACTTTGACAACACAACATACATACTGTACAATATATCGTTTCTCACTCTTTTATTTATTTTTGTACAGTATTTATTTATGGCTATTATTATTATTAATTTATTTTTATTAAACGTGATTTTTATTGGTTATTAATTTATAGTACACTTGTAATTATTTTTATAATATCTTCGTCCCCCAGGCCCTGATGTTAGTCAGTGACCTGTGCCAGGGTGGGCTAATGCCTGTAAAATAAAATATAAAATATCTACCCAAAAATACGAGTACAGAGACATTCTAACTTGGCCACCTGCCAATTCCACAAACACACGTTCACTTCATACACATACAGTACTCAGCCATGCTCTTCATTTTTTCTTGTTTTATAGCAACATGCCATCTTCATGGATATGTAGTGTAAAACTTATATAAGTATCGGGTATTTAATTTATATTAAGCTATTTTATATATATATTATCTGTGGCCATGGAACCTGACCCCACATTTCCCATAAGCCTTAAGTCTTGCCAATCACATGGCTTTTCAGGAACCCAACCCCCGCAGTTGGCGAGGGACTACTGTATACCTGTAGAGTATTTCTTCTTACAGATGTTTGCCTCATTTAGCTGTGTACAATGGAGCAAATTATATATTTGAATTATAAGGCTGGTAAACCATTTATGTGCAAGCATGAGGAAAACAAAGGAGGAACAGTAACAGAGTTCAACTGACAAAAACTTTACAATCCTTACCATTTATAATTGGCATTCCATTACTGAAAGAGAGTATGGCTGAACGTTCTCGCTCCGGCTGCTGCTCCCCGTCCATTATCACTGTGGGTCGCTTGTACCGCCCTTTTTGTACATCTTCGAACACCTGCAGCATGTTACCAACTCGTGCAGTATAACCGGCCAACTCTACGATCTCCTATAATGGAAAGAATGAATGTTAAGAAAAATTCCTGAGGCATTATACAAAACTTATGACAAAATAACAGTTGGAGACAGATAGTGGTACATTATGAAAACCAATCAGCTATGATGAAGATATGAGAGAACAGAAAAAGTACAGCATTAACATGTAGACAATTTTATGGTATTCTGAGGACAGTGATAAAAACAAAAATTTATGAGCCACCATGTTTGCTGGAGCTGATGGTAGAAACAGTGAGTACACTTCTACAGATGTTGGTGAATTATGGGAGAGCAAAACAAGAATGGTGGACAGATGAAATAAGTTTCTTAAGAAGCAAAAATTGAGTTAAAGTCAGTCAATAGAGTGAGGATTATAGTGAATTTAGTGACTTTGAAATGGTTGGCGGTTCAGTGCTGTCGGAGCTCTGGCACCTCTGTTTGATTATTGCAAAAGGGGAAATAACATTTGTCACTTCCAAAATAGTATATTTTTTTTATTATTCATATAGATACGATAATAATTTATGTAAAGATTCAAGCTACTTAACTTCTTATATATTTAAAGACTAAACAGGATTTGTATTGGTCTAACCATGTAATACCCGACGTGTGAGAATATCGTGAGTATGGACACTCACAGGTACACTTCCTGTCCAAACGTTTCTGCGAGAGAAACGGTACGAGGCAGAGTTGCCAACCAACCACTTTTGATGCTAATATTCAGTGATATTCATGGCTTTAGCAATAGTTCATTAGACGTTCTTTCTTTCATACTTGATTATTTGGTGCCAATTTAGGTGGCTAAAAGTGCAAAAAAAATGATTTGCTTTATTTCTAAGTTTTTAACTTGGATTCTTTAAATATTCTCTGACTCTGTACTATTTGCCATATTTAAGGACAAATCTAGCATTATTTCTATAACTGCGTAGCAACACTGCTAAGCCTGCTCTGACTCAGTTGCATTAGTAAGGCTACATCTGTGGTGGTCCGTGGATTACTCGCAAATACTAAATTTAATTTTCCTCACTAACAACCCTATGGCTTCTAAGCAAACAACATTAACTTCTTTATTTCGTAAACAAGCTGAGGAGTGTAACAAGAATAATGTACAAGAGACTGATAATAGTAAAAGTGACAAAAGCTGTGTTTCACCTGCTTCTAGTGCAAATTTTCTAACCGGGTCCAAATGCAGTTCTGAAAGTAATGGTGCTTCGAAGTCAGGCTTGTATCCCTGTGCAGATGTTTGGACTGAAGAAATGTGGGAAAAAAGAAGGAAACTTATCCCAGGTTAGACTTCAAGGATGATAAACTTGGGTGTAAATTATATGCAAACATAAGAAATCTGACACTTTTCACTTCTATGGGTTCGAGGCTGTCAAATGAATGGCAAATGTGCCAAGTATCATATTATGGAGACAATCGAAGTACACGCTTGAAGTCACTCAGAAAAAAAATTGTTGATCACAAACTATCAAAAGCTCACATTGCTGCTCTAAGTGTTGAAAATAAAGCTCGTGAAGATGCTCTTGGAAAATTATGTGACACTATGAATGCTTCGCATCTAAGGGCAACTTGTTAAATTTTTCGTTCTGCATATTATTTAGCTCAGAATGACAGACCATACTCTGATCACTTCGGCTTACTGGAACTTCAAAACAAAAATGGTATTGATATTGAATTTGGACTGCATTCCCGCACTAGTGCTACAGACATCATTAATCACATAGCCATTAATATGAGTAAGAAAATTTGCCAGCATATCAAGCAGATAAATGGTAAAATTTCTGTTCTCATTGTTGAATCAACTAGCCTGAGCATCAAGACTGCCCTAATAGTTTATTTGAAATGTGAAAGTGATAAGGAAGGTGATCCCAATTTTATGTTTTTAGATCAAATTGAACTGCCTCATCAAAAAGCTACAACTATTGCTAAGCATCTATTGAACTGTCTCAATAACCATGGTTTTGATGACTCTTACTTGAAACAGAACCTTGTAGCATTTGCTAGTGATATATACTGTATAATGTTATGGTAAATATCATAAACACACATAGGCACGGCTAGGTTTATTACAAAGTGATGAAATGGATAATGTAAAGTGGGTAGTCCACAAAACATGTAGCTATGTCTCTCTTTATTTGAGTGCCCCATCAAAGAAGTCCGTTTTCTCTCACTTCAGGACTCCTGAGTCGTCCGTTTTCTCTTAATCTTAGAGTGCAGTACACCAGACACTTATTTATTTCTTAGTAATGACACAGAATTTGAAATTGCAACTGGGGTTGCAATTGTTGAGGCAACTTAGAATGTCTGATTACAGTTGGAATATTCAAGATCCATTGTGAGTGATGTTTAAAGCTTCAACTGTCTTTATGGTTGGTAAAACTTGTCAAGTCTGTCAGTGTGAGTGGCATGTGTGAGGCCTTGTGTTTGTACAACCGCTAAATATATAAATATATAATGTTATGGTAATTATCAGAAACACACACAGGCATGACTAGGTTTATTACAAAGTGATGAAAAGGGTACGGTTAATACTGTAGTCCACAAAACATGTAGCTATGCTTTTTTTATTTGGTCCCCCGTCATACGAGACTGTTTTCTCTCACATCAGGACGCCTGAGTCCTCCATTTTCTCTCTTAATCTTAGAGTGCACCAGAAACTTTACTATTTTTAGTAATGCCACAGAATTTGAAATTGCAACCCCAATTGCAACTGGGGTTGCAATTGTTGAGGCAACTAGTTATGTCTGATTACAGCAAATGTGTTATTGTCAATTTGTAGGTGAAAGATTTTATCCTCAATAGATGTAGGTTAACATTTCACCTGTAGGCAAATGCTTAAAAAATGCCTAAGTAAGGAAGCATATTCCTTTAACACATAATATCTGACCAGTATGGGGAGGATCATCATGTCTCCGTCAGGGGGTCGTGGAGAATTGGTCCAGCGTCACTTTTTGGGGGCCTCAAGACGTATATGCGATTGAACATTCGATTGAGACGTTAAGGATGACTGTGTATATATATATATATATATATATATATATATATATATATATATATATATATATATATATATATATATATATATATATACATATACATATATATATATATATATATATATATATATATATATATATATATATATATATATATATATATATATATATATATATATATATATATATATATATATATACAGTGAACCCTCACTTTAGGCAGTCAATTGAACCCACGGAGGCCCGCGTAAAGCGAGAAAAGCATAAAGTGAACAACATAACATATGGGATTAATTGAAATAGAGACCGGGCCGACCCCCAAACTCCACTTTTTCCCGACACAATACCTATGTTCTAGTAAAAATAGCATCTTAATTTCATGATGGTGCAAGCACACAATTAATATTTAAGAGAAATACAGTCGCCAAGTTAATGTCCATTCAAATAATGGACTCAACTCCCTCCCCCTCTTCTCACACTCACTGGCTCTTCCCTCTCTGAGAAATGTTTGGGGGAAGACACTAGATTTTAAGGTATAGTAATAAATAATACCTCAAACTAAAGTTAGGATAATATAATTGACATTGCTGGTGTCCTTGCAAGACCAGGAATATTTTGAATATAAATGTCATATATTTTGCACAAAAGATAACATATTTACTCTAAGTAAACAAAATACTTACATTAGATCTAAAATTCGTATGTCTAATGCGAAATCTATGATGTTTATATTCAAAATGATCATCAAATTGTAAGAATTCCAGCAATGTAAATTATATTCTGGCAGGGTAATTTGTATGAATTTTATGAGCTAAAACAAATATCTTCAGTTAATAAAAAAAAAAAATATTCTTCACGACACTATCTATCAATCAAAATACCCCACCTTGCCTCTCCCCCCCTCTTCCCACCACGCCAGCTGGGTCGGTCGGTCCCTCCCCCCCACACCCCACCTTCCCTCCCTACCAGAAAAATGTGAGGGAGAAAACAGAATATTTACCTTTTTAGTAATAAATAATACCTCAGACTAAAGTTAGGATAATATAATTGACATTGCTGGATTCCTTGCAAGATCAGGAATATTTTGAATATACACGTCATATATTTTGCACAAAAGATAACATATTTGCTCAGAGTAAACAAAATACTTACAGTAGATCTAAAATTCGTATGTCTAATGCAAAATCTATGATGTTTATATTCAAAATGATCATCAAATTGCAAGAATTCCAGCAATGTAAACTATATTCTGGCCAGGTAATTTGTATGAATTTTATGAGCTAAAACAAATATCTTCAATAAATAAACAAAATACTGTATACTTACCCAAATACTATCTGTCAATCAAAATACCCCACCTCCCTCCCTCTTCCCACCTGCTCCCTGGGTCCCTCCCTCCCTCCCTACCCCTCACCCCCACCTTCCCTCCCTACCAGAGAAATGTTTGGGTTATAACAGTATATTTACATTTTTAGTTATAAATAATACCTCAGACTAAAGTTAGGATAATATAATTGACATTGCTGGATTCCTTGTAAGACCAGGAATATTTTGAATATACACGTCATATATTTTGCACAAAAGATAACATATTTGCTCTGAGTAAACAAAATACTTTCATTAGATCTAAAATTTGTATGTCTAATGCAAAATCTATGATTCTTATATTCAAAATGATCATCAAATTGTAAGAATTCCAGCAATGTAAATTATATTCTGGCCGGGTAATTTGTATGAATTTTATGAGCTAAATAAAAATATTATACTTCACCCGCGTATATGAGTAGATGCACCGCGTAAAGTGGGAATTCCGGTTCTGGCAGGGTACCGCGTAAATGTAGAAACGCGTAAAAAAAAAACGCGTAAAGCGGGGTATTACTGTATATATACAGAGAGAGAGAGAGAGAGAGGCAAGCATTTTGACAGCTCCGGCACCTAAAAAATTAGCACTGAAACACTGATAAAGAGTATTAAACTGACAGAGATGTGTAGAGAACAGAATGCCTAAGTACAAGTATAAGAGGAATTGGTTGCAGCACAAAGAGAAACTAAATGGTATATAAGGCACATAATGAGAAAGAGACTTAAGTTGGTTAATTACCAAGAGAATATTCATTAAGGATGAGAGAGCAGAGGTGAAGAGATATGCCTCAACATTACAAGAACTCTCTGAAGTAGAAAGTTATAATACTGTACTGTTTCTATAAGTGTCAAATTTGTGAGGCTGACAAAGAGCTGTGAAACTGACACACCTTGTACGATGTCAAGAGACGTTCAACAGCATCAGCTCCAGACACCAGCATGTTCTTGGCAGTGGTGAAGTACTGTGTACGCTCCGAAACTCCTCCATCAGTCTCTCCACCTGTCATTGGTGTCAACAATGATGGTGAGGATATAAGTGTGTGAGTGCAAGCAGCTGTCACTGTTAGTAATCAAAGGCATTGTGATATAACCACAAATCACAAAACTACAAGAGTTTATCACTAAGATGGTGTAAGTAGGAACTGTACATCACATTCTGGTTTCAGTTAAGAAACAATTTGAATGTTTTTAATCAAAAGAAAGAGAGATAGACATATCAGTAAAGGAATATGGATAGAAAGGTAGTGAAAGAGAAAAATACCAAGAGAGATAAGGAATATACAGACAGAGTCTCTTACTCACTCTCATTTTTGGTGGAAGTGAGGAGAGGGATGGAGACCATGATCATGCCAGCACCTGACCACACATACTTCATGAGGAATTGTTCTAACATGATGTACCACAATCTCTTGTTGAAGATCACCCCCATCTGGTGTACCAGTGACTGATATGCCTGCTGCAGGATGCCCAGCTCCACCTGTAACACATGGGTGCCTTATTAACACCAACTGCCATCCATGACCAAAAAAGTAGTGTCTTCATCAACATGAAGCTGAGGAATACATAATGAAGGATAATATTTTTGTTTCTGATGTATTTAGTGTGAAACAAATTGAGTGAGTGATTCAGTGTACTACAATAATGTCCTGTACTGTGTTATGAACATGACTAGGTGTTCAAACTTTGTAGTGTGTAATGTATTGTACAATAAATATGAATATATGATAATTCATCCTAGTACAGTATAATACTGTACTAGTTAATATAACACGAGATAGGTTCCAAGAGAGGTCGCTTTAAACCAAATTCGCACCAAATCGAAGTGCTGTCTCAATGGAATAATTTAGTTTGGTACTTGAGAGAAACACAAAATACTAAAAAGACTGAGTCTACCCAGATGCACCTCAGCCTATCTCCTAGAATAAACAAAACATTGTTTTTTGTAGTACAGTACTGTATTAAGTTAAAATAAACACTCATAAATCAACACAGCTAAAATTAAGGGATGCAAAATGGTCTGTTTACTGACTAGGAAGATGGGGGGAGGGAGGGGGGTGAGGTGATATGTTTATGAGAACTAAACCTCTAGGCAGGAAAATAAAGAATTTGTCATGTATGGCACTAACTCTTACAAGGAGAGCCTATCATAGCATAGTTCCACTGGTAAACCTAGCCATTTAATATTCTAAGTGAAAGTAAAGATTTATACTTCTCCAAAAACCTGCTCTATCTAGAATTCTCAACACTAACCAGTATGAATCACTGTATCACAAGATGAACCCAGAATCAATACCAATCCAAAATAATAGGACTTGAGCTTAACTAGATATTTTCATTAATACAACAATAGATAAAACATTAAAGGTAAACTGAATCATACTAAAACTGGTGAGACACAGGCTGAGCAGATTAAGTGGAACATTTACTTGCCCTGACAAATTTTGGAGGAAATTTACTTGCCCATTTTGGGGGGAGAAAGATTGAATAAACAATTAAAGCATTAAAATTTATTATGAGTATCAACTAACACATCACTAATGTCTTTAAAACTCACCCGGTCAATTTTCCTGGCGTCTTATACATGTTGATGAATTCACTTCAATTTATAACACAAATCTGTCTTAAACAGCAATCAGTGGGAACTGTTATAAAGGTAAGGTCATTGTGATAATAGGCCAACACAAATAGGAGGGATCAGCTATAATGTTACTGAGGCTGTCCCATGCACCTGGGCTTTCTTAGCAGGACAGGTCATTGTGGGAACAGAAAGGTCACGGATCAAGTCAGCTACAAATGTCATATGGTGTCAGGTCAAGCACGCACACGCACACACACACACTACTACTTTTCTGTCACTAGGAATCGAGTATGACGATCATCCAGCTATAATACAATGATATGAGTTATTAGGGATGTCACCTACGTTGGTGAGTTTTGAGGTGACTAAAGAAGCCGATACGGGACCCGCAGTGTCGTTCACATTCGTTGCACATGTGGAGGGCTCCATCTTCTGCGGGAGGGGCAGTGGCAGCGTCTTTCCGGCGTTGGCGCTTGTCTGCCTCGGTTTGCAGTCGGGCTAACTCGAAAGCATTGACACCTTCCTGTGCGGTGCTCCTCTAAGGGTTACGATGTGGAGTAATCGTCTCCCAGGTGAAGGGGTCGATTTGGCACTTTTCAGGCTTGTCTTAAGACTAACCTTATGCCTTTTCAATTTGCCCGCCAGCGTTACGTTTACTATTCGTTAGGTGACTATAAAGTAGCTGCATTGGCAGTCTACTGTCGTCCATGCTAGTCCAACGTAGTTGTTCATGGATAATGGTAGCCTCGATGTTCCTACAGTTGGTGTCAGTAAGAATACTGGCATTTGTTCTCTTATCTTCCCAGCGAACTCGGAGGATGGAACACAGACTACGTTGGTGAAAGTTTTCAAGTGCCTTGAGGTGCCTCCTGTATGTGACCCATGTCTCACTGCCATATAGCAGGGTGGAGAGGACCACTGCTCGATATACGTGCAGCTTTGTAGATAATTCCAGCTCCCTACAGCTGAAGACACGATTTTGAGGTCTGCCAAAGGCTTGAGATGCACATCTGATCCGATGCTGAATCTCTTAATCGATGTCTGCGGTGGTGGACAGGTGGGAGCCAAGAAAATGAAAATGGGCAACATTAGAGAGGGTAGTACCGCTAAGCTGGATGGATGGTGGAGGTGAGTCTGAACCAGGGGCAGGTTGAAAGAGAATCCGAATCTTACGTGCATTCACCTCAAGGCTGAAGTGTGCATACGCGTCTGCGTAGGTGTTCAGAATCTCCTGTAGGTTGTGTTCAGTGTGAGCAACAAGGATGAGGTCGTCTGCATACTGATGTTCAGTAATGGAAACTGCAGACACCTTTGTTCTTGCCTGGAGTTGTCTTATGTTGAAAAGATACCCCTTCAACCAGTACTCGATGTTCACCCCACTGGCTAAATTGGCACTGGCACGAGTAAGGAAGGCAGCCAAGGAGATGGAAAAGAGAGTTGGTGCCAGTACACACCCTTGTTTAACCCCTGTTTGGATGGGGACGAATTCTTACTGGGTGCCGTTGTGCAGGACACTGCCGTTTATGCCATCGTGGAGTTGCCTCACAATGGCGATGAATTTTGGTAGGCAGCCAAAATGACTGAGGGTCCACCAGAGGGCTTCCCTGTTGACCGAGTCAAAGGCCTTGGTTACGTCGATGAAAGTCATGACACACACACACACACACACACAGCCCCCCTTCCCCTCCTGTCACCTCACTGGTTGACGAACTTCACTAGTTAAACATGCACAGAGAGATGGGGTCATGCAGCAACTTACAAATTCCCATGTGGATATTTTCCTCTAAAAATATTAACTTTTGAACCGGGCAAGTGCCAGGCACACAGACATGAAACGTCACTTGTCTGGCCCCTAGTCTGGGTACGTCCAGGCTGCCGGGCACTGCTAATCTGACAGCACTGTTGAGACATGTTAACAAACCACTCATTTGTTATATCCAATGAATGTATTTTTTAATACTGTACTGTACATAAGATAGGACTATACAATATCCCTTAAGGGTCTACAGACTGGGCCTACCAATCACATTAATATCATCTTACAGGTATAACACAATCATGTAGGGTACCTCTGATTTGCAGCTAGAATAAGGGTAGCTACCATATCCACTTAAGGAAAGTTAACTTCATTGCCCAACCAAACCTCATATAAAATTGAAGGCTACAGTACAAAGTTAGAAAGAGTAGAGTAATAATGTAGGTTACCTTATGACCACCGTAGAAGGCAATCTCTTCAGCATTGGTGATGATCCGAGAGTGGACGGCTCTGAGGTAACCTTTCCGGTGTGCCTCCTCAGCTACGAGAGTGCCAAATTTGGGCGACACCCTTCTCAGTATGCGTCCTGTGATCATAACAACCAGGGTACCCAATGCTGGACCTATGGATAAAATTATAAAGGTGAATTCACAAGTGAGATCAAACCATGTTTAGAAACTAAGTTCTATAAATGACCACTGCTAATTATATTTACAGTAGTATGTAATCACAGAACCCATTGCTCAAACTTAGAAAGAAACGTTTATGAATGTAGCAAAACTTGGTATAACAGACACTGTATATAATGGCACCCAGCTATAAGACACCCTAAGCCTATTGGACAAATGCTCCGTATGCCAGACAGGCGTCCCTTAATCCCAAGGAGTTGTCCAACAGTTCATCACTGCATGAATACTAAGTGGAGGAACTGTAACATATAATAAAGAGTAACAGACAAGCTGATACTTATTGAAAAACTTAAAGAACCATTATCACACATTATACATTTTATACTGTACTCCTCACCACACTTTATCTGAGACTTCTCTACCATACCCCTAGATCTCTACCAGGCCAAGCTACATGTTATGGTTTGGTTATTTTTCAACTCGTAATTTCAGGTATATATATATATATATATATATATATATATATATATATATATATATATATATATATATATATATATATATATATATATATATATATATATATATATATATATATATATATATATATATATATATATATATATATATATATATATAGTTCATGACATCCTTGCCCCTCCAGTTGTGTCAGCTCTGGAGACAAAGGTAACTACAGAAGTTTGTACGGTCAGTTGAATGCCAAGTGTGTTCTTCATCAGGGAGTAAACTTGTTCACAATAATAGGTGGTTCTAAAATATGACAAAAGAGAGAGAGAGAGAGAGAGAGAGAGAGAGAGAGAGAGAGCAACTTTCTTTATTGCTGAGAATTTTGATGGAAGTTCAGATCAAGTACAGTACTGTGTACAGTACTCGGTACACTTCAGTTATGGAAAGTAAACTGCTTTCTCAAAATTATTAAATTTTTCTTTTTTTTTCTTTTAAAAGGTGGATGTTCCACTTTTTTTTCAACATAAACATGCTCTGCTTCTCTATATAATTTTCTCAGCCAAGCATTACAAGTAAATTTCACTTATTGCAGTAGCCTAATTCCTGAAAAATTCCCATATTTTTTAGTGTATAAAAAAGTATCCCCACGTGCCACCTTCGGCACGTGTGCCCAGGGTTGCCAACACCTGCTGTAGCAGCTTCATGGAAACATTATTGTGTAGATCACCACTGAAAAGCCCCAGCTTATTTCACAATGTTTTTAAACATCTTAATACTACCTGAAGGGGTTAGATTAGGTTTGCATTAGTGTTTAGTCATATGAAATAAGGAAACGGCAGACCAATCAATACTATGCAGTTAAGGTGGACTTTAATACAATAAATCACTGTTGTAATAATTGAGTACTGTACTGTACTGCAGCTACTGTACATGTGCCATAAAATCTCAGATTACAATATTAAAGCAAAACAGAAACTGAGAAAACTGATATTTCTTGGCAAGAACAGCTAGAAACAAAAACCTTATCATAGAGTGGTGCCTTATCTGTGGCCTCATTGGGGCCATGGGTCAACTGTGTGGTGGTGGTGGTGGTCAAGGCCGGTGATAACACCACCAGCCTTCATTACCCACAGGAGACTGATAATGAAGAGGAAAGAGCAGGCAGAGGGGGAAGGGAGAAAGAAAAAGGAGAAGGTGTAGGAGGAGGAGGAGGATACTATAGAGATATAAAGAAGGATGTGTTATGGTAAGATAAAGGAGGAATACCAACAATAATATAAATAATAAAAACTAGTTCATTTATAACAATGAAAATAAATATAATAACCTACCGGTTAATTCAATTCAAATCACCCCACTTCAAAAAGCTTCAATCTTAGGCAAGGGGATGACCAGCGGCGTATAATGTACAGTATAAGTTTCTGGAAAAGGGGGGGGGAGGGCGCAAGATTTGAGGATAGGGACATTATTTGGTAAAATTGCAGTTTCACTACTGATTGTTTTTTTTACCAGAAATCTAAGTTTTCCCATGGTATTTTGTGTGATTCAATTCAAATGACCTTCATTTCTGTTGGAAATGAGCCAATTTTGAGTTATCACCTCCCCATAGAACCTGATCTAACCAACCAAAGAAACCTACCTAACCTTATCAACATGAGAGTATGCTCAAACCGAGCGGGTCAGTTGTAAACCACCAGACGACACGTGCTGACTGCAGATTTATGTTAATTTCTTACAAGAATTTACCATCTCGGTTAATATCCATTTGCGACGGAAGTGGTAGTATTAGAAAAAGTTGTTGCAATTGACACTATTTAATTTCTGGTGAACCCAAATTTGCTCTCACTCAATTGGGAGTGAAACTGCAATAATACCCATTATTTATTTCTATCCAGTGGTGTAAGCAGAGGTCAAGTGTGGTGAGCTAATACAGCTGGGGGGTTCAGTGAAGGGGAGGAGGGGACTGTAAGGCCCCAGAGAAAATTTTGAAATTTGCCCAATTTCAGGGACTTTTTGAGGTCAGCTGCAATGAATAGTAGGACACATTTAATGGCCAATATTAGTAGTACTTCTGTTGGATGCTTCCCCCCTGACAATGAGCCTGCATTAATTTCTAAGTACGGTACTTACGTCCTCAGAAACTGGTTGCGTTGGGTTGAGGGCAGTAGCAAAAGGGGAGCCATGACCACATGCAACCCCCCATATAAGCCACTGGGGACGATGCCTTATTGAATACCGTACAGTAGAGTAAATCTGACAATGACATGTCTGTAGTTAACTGTGTGAGACATGGCAGAATATAACACCTACAGTACACAACAAAAACTAATGATTATTAGTTAACCTATTTTGCTAAAAAAAACTCTCTAGCATGACTTTAACCCTTAACTGATGGATAAAAATTCCCTGCTTCCCCTCATATGCACAATAATAAAAAAAAAAAGTTTATACAGGGGTATAGATTTTCATTGCAAAAGTATGTAGCTAAATTATCTAAAAATAAACACTTTCTGTTTCATGATTTGCCACTTCATATTCTTCCTCTGCATTATCATCACTATCATATATCACATATATCCACTTTCTTGAGGCGCCAAATACTGTACTGTCTCCCATAGTCACTGTTGGTGGGACACTATTTACTAAGTAGCTGTAGGGGAGTGGTGACAAAGATAGATATTTACTGGTGATGCATGAATCTATAATAAAAGGTGCTCAGGAAACATGGAAATTACAAGATGAATACCGTCCCTACAGCTAACATCCACTGATGATGGCTGCTGTCCCTACAGCCAACTCCCACTGAAGATGGCCACAACTTAAGGGTTAACAGTAATGTTAAAAGTCATGAGAAACTATAAAAGTCATAAGATGATATCAAATTGTCTACACTGCACATTAGTCCAGCTTTAATCAATAGTTCTTGATATCTTAATGGCAAATTTTATCTACATTCACCCCACAGAACCCACATTAACAACATTTACTCTACATTAACCACATTCACCCCACAGAACCCACATTAACAACATTTACTCTACATTAACCACATTCACCCCACAGCACATTCACCCCACAGAACCCACATTAACAACATTTACTCTACATTAACCACATTCACCCCACAGAACCCACATTAACAACATTTACTCTACATTAACCACATTAATCAATAGTTCTTGATATTCTTAATGGAACCCACACAGCATTTTTATTCTACATTCACCCATTCACCCCAGAACCCACATTAACAACATTTACTCTACATTAACCACATTCACCCCACAGAACCCACATTAACAACATTTACTCTACATTAACCACATTCACCCCACAGAACCCACATTAACAACATTCACCCCACAGAACCCACATTAACAACATTTACTCTACATTAACCACATTCACCCCACAGAACCCACATTAACAACATTTACTCTACATTAACCACATTCACCCCACAGAACCCACATTAACAACATTTACTCTACATTAACCACATTCACCCCACACACCACCTATCACAGCCTTCCCTCACGATCTCCCTCAAGGTCTTATGCCCAGCCTATTCTTTATCACAGCATTACATACAGTAGGTTTACCAGGTAGTACACTAAGCACTTTAAAGTCTAATAACAAACAAATGTAGATGAAACAATACCTATGCCTATATTCCAGTTATGGCTGTATAGATTTTGCATGTGAAAGAAACATACAACTGTAATTTTGAGTGAGACAGATGGACAGACAGACACATTTTAGAGATAAGATATTAATCTACTAATGAAGCAATTCACCTTTATGACCCCGAACAGATCAGCTTATAAACATGTCATAACCATACGATGTTTGAGCAATGCACAATACTGTACGTACTGGTAAAGAGTAGTAAGGTAAGGAGTGGGCATTCTGGGCTCGTGTGTTGAATAAGAGTGAAATACAACAGATAATAACTGTAAAATTAGTGGCACAGTAGGGGAGGCTCAAGAGTAACAGGGACACAGGGGTTTAAGGCTCATATCCTAAGAAATTCAGCATTAAGTTAGTTTTATTTCTTTTACCTGTGTGGTGGACCAGGAGAGGTATACTGTATAACTATGAAAATGTGTCCTCTGGAAGGCTAAATTTTCCCTGCACAGAGGAGCAGCTCTGAACCTTCAGTCCACCTGCCATGTTTATATAGCTAAAGCAGAAATGCTCTTCTTCTTCTTCTTCCCAAAACTTTTGTAATTATCTACAAAAGATGGTGATCCAATAACAACCCCTCAAGTTGTCGTTTTTTTTGTCTGACACAATCTCCTAAAAACTGTGAACAGATTAATTGAACAACCAAAACAACAACTTTCCTGAAATTACTGTGACAAGTTACAAGAGATTTCAAATATGGTAACATGGGTGCTCAAAATGTAAATAACATTCTGTATCTACCAAGTAACAAAACATTCTTACAATCTGTAACAAACCTACCAAGTTTAACCTTACCTAACCTAAAATAGCTACTACATAGCTTCAGTTACAATACGGT